CTCAGATGTGTATTCTTGCCTTGGCTTTCCCTCACTTGTCTAACTCTCTGTCCTGTGATGGCACACTTGGTGTGTTTCTCTGGCTTAGGACTCTTACTGGAACTCTAAAACTGCTTTCTATGCGAGAGCTTGTTCAGATTCCAGCTTCTCCTCCGCCATCTTGTCTCCCTCCTCCAAGGACTATATATTTTTTAATAGTACCATTATTGGGATATAACTATGGACCATAAAATTCATCCTTTCAGAGTATAAAATTTCAGTAGCAGCCAGAATCTGGTAGCTCACCCTTGTAATCTTAGCGACTCAGGGGGCTGAGATCTGAGGATTGTGATTCAAGGTCAGTCTGGGCAGCAAAGGTCCCTGTGAGACTCTGATCTCCAATTAACTACTCATAAACCAGAGGTGAAGCTATGGCTCAAACTGGTAGAGTCCTAGCCATTAGCCAAAGAGCTCAGGGACAGCACCCAGGCCCTGAGTTCAAGTCCCAACAAAAAACAAAACAACTATAACAAAGGAGGAGGAGGCAATAATGCTTGATAAGAAATGTACTCATTACCTTGCTCATGTGATTGTAGCATCTCTGTATGGTATTTTCACAATTTAAAAAAACTTATTTAAAAAACACGTAAGTGGTTTTAGCATATCTACGATGTTGTGCAAGCATGGTGTCTAGATAATTCCAGAATATTTTATCATTCAAAATAAAACCCAGCGTGGAAGAGGAGCGCCTCGAGCCGCCGCGTGTGTCCGGCCTCCCCCGCCCGGAGCGGCGCGGGGCGGCGGGCTGCAGACCTCTCTACCCGCGCTTGGGCGCTGCTGCCCCGTGCCGCGTCGGTCGAGGCACCACTTCCGGTTTCCTGGTGGTTTATCGGAGGCACCCACTTTCTCTGCCATTTCTTGATCAAAGCCACGAAGAAGGATTGAGCGCACCATGACTGTAACATCCAAGCTGAAACCAGCGAGGAATCCAGCACACTCCAGAGCGACATAGGAGGCGCCCACCACCAAGGTCTTCCCAGGGCAGTAGGAGAGAGAAAAGAGATCGTCACTGAAAGAGAAAAAGAAAGAATGCCTGGGCCATGCAACCAAAATGTTACTGGGCTCCAGTTTTAATGGCCTTCGGTTGGACCCTACACCCTGAAGCTCGTGGGCCTGCAGGAGGTTTAGAAGCAAATTCTCAGGTCCTTTCTAGCAATTACCCAGACAGAGCATAGTTTTGTACATAAATCTTCCCACTCTTATTATTCATCTAATTTTATTTCATCTTTGCTTCATTACTTAGCATTTAGTGTGATCAATCCAAGCTTTTGTGGAATAAGGGAGTAAATACATTGAAGACATATAAAGGCAATGCTGTTGATTAAAGTCAGAATGGAGTACTTAACCTTACCTAGTAATACAGTATTCTTTATCTCCTGGGATTCCTAAGTAGCGTGGCCTTTCACCTGTTGCTATGACAAATTTTGAGGCAGTATGATACGTTTCCTGTCCTTTTTTATTGGTTGCCTTGAAAAAAGGAAAGCAATTTTCACTTACTCAGTTAATATTATAGAGTATCAGACATAAGGGAAAAACTTCATTCTATCCATACTTAACAGGGTTTCTAATTCAACAGAGTAACAGGTGTGCAAAAACAACAGTGCAGCACACGGAAGCAGAGATTGTTACAAAATGGTAGCATTCAAAATGGTAGCTCTGGGGTAGCAGAGCGAAAGGTCAGCATATATTCAAACCAGAGATGAGTGGAGTGAGATGACCAAGAGGAATGGAGCCGGAAAGAGTGAGCAGCGCCCAAAGGCACCTGGCCTGCAAGGAGCTGGGCTGGGGGGCTGTCAAGTGGCCTGAAGCAAATAGTACATGGATGTGTCAGTGGTGAAATGAAACAAACAAGAGCCAAAGTGGAGGCCTTCTCATGGAGAGTCAGCTGTGGTTGTGGATTGTTTGTAATTACAGAGATTATTCAGAGCACATCTTCATATAAAGTATTCAAACCTATGGGCTGGCATGAGCAGTCAGACAGAGGAGGGGCACAGGCCTGCTCAGGAGTCCTGAGACACACCAGAAGTGCCGGCCACAGGCAGAGGGGAAGAGCTCAAGGTCTGAGCCACTGAAGAGAGGCTGATATTGCTGAGGCCCTCAGGAGGGGCAGACTCAGTTGGGGAATGGCTGGCTATTCAACCACCTGCGCCAGGCACACTGCAATGTGAGAAATAAAACTTGTATTTTACAGTCTTTCTTGTGAATAATGTAAGTCAAATTGCCCATGCATAGCTTTAGAGGAGCACTCTAAATGACCACCTCAGTGAGCTAACAGTTGATGCAGAGTAATCAGAATCATATCCAGATTATCTTACATGATCTCCCAGAGCAAAGCACTAAGTTCTGCGGATAATAGTTGACTGTCTTTCATAATTCTATCTTAAAAATTCTGTGTTCATCAAAATGATCTCATTGTTCTTACAGTACTGATTTGATAACATATAAATATCATAAGCAGTAATATATTAATTCTGATATACTTTATCCAGGATCTTATGAACAGTACACTTTGGAGTTATATTTAACATTTCACTATACAAAAGGATTCCAACTGGGAATGAGTGGCTCATGCATGTAATCTTAGCTACTCAGGAAATTGAGATCTGAGGACCACAGTTTGAAGCCAGCATGGGCAAGAAAGCCCATGAGACTCTTATCTCCAGTTAACTACCCAGAAGTATGGAATAGAGCTGTGGCTCAAGAGATAGAGCACTAGCTTGAGCTGAAAATTTCAGGGGCAGAGCCTAGGCCCTGAGTTCAAGTCCCAGGACAAAAAAAAAAAAAGGATTCCACAGCTAAAATGCTAAATCTTTTAGTCTTTTAAACTATTCAAGAGGTCTTTAAAATGCAATTTCTTCAATTTAGCCCACATATGGGTAATTAACAATGGGAGAAATGCAGATGGATGTGAAGCCATGTGTGCGCCCTGCTGTCTGTGCTGTGTGCATGTGTGTGCATGCGTGCGTGGATGCTGGCCCCCATCCTTGATGTGCAGCATGGACAGGACAGGGCATCTGACAACACCTTTATTTTATGAGGCTCAACAAATTCTCCATAGGAATTGACGTAGGTCACGCCTTTCTCCCTCAAGGACAGCCTGTAGCCCCAGTTCAGAGAGCCGATGTGGCTCTGGATCGCTTGTGTCATGGTCTCCCAGTTGTGCTTCACTGAAAAACAGAAGCAGGCACGGGTGTGAAGTGCATCATATTTATCTTTGAGACAGTATCTCAACATAGCCCATACTGGCCTCAAACGCATGATCCTCCTGCCCTGGAAGACAGTGCTGGACTGTCCATGTGGATGACCACACCTGTGGACTTTTACTTATAATGGCAACTTGCATATAGCCACATATTAGCTATATTACCTATTGCTTTATAAACCCAGAAAGTGGACAGAAAGAACTTATACCTATTTCCACTTCATACAACAAGGCCCTGCAAGCACCAGGGCTCTGTAAGAAGAGAGAATACAAGCATCACGGGAAAGGCCGTGCAGGAGAGCAGACCTCTCCAGTAGCTGATGCCCACCACATAACAAAGAGGGTGGCCTTCATCATGGAGCACCTCCTGGATGCCCCCCTCCCTCTACCAAGCCTGCACCCCTGGGCTGTGAGAGTACAGACGGCTCAAGTCAGTGAGCACCAGCGTGGCCACACACCCCACAGCCACTCACTGGGTATGAGAGGCCTTGGTGACAGGGCGTGCATGTTCTCTTTCTCTTTTGTGGTGCTGGGGATGGAACCCAGGGCCTCACAAATCTAGGCAAGCCTTCTACCACAAGGCAGCACCCTGGGCCTTTACATTGCTTCCTGATTTATGAAGGTGAGCTACCCAAATGAGTAACTATTTCTTCTGCGGGTAGGAAGGGGCCTGAGGATAAGCTCTGAGCCTGGCCCGTGCTAGCAAGCACTCTCGCACCATGCGGTCTCCACTCCCAGCCACTGAGGATGTCTCCACACCTCATCCCAGCATTGACTCAAAGCATTCTGCAATGGGCAGCTTTGAGGAATCTCAGCTGTGCTCACAGGAGGAAATGAGATTCCTCAAAGTTCCTCATATATAACGTCTACCTAACATCCAGGGGGCTGTTGTGATGTGTATTCAGGAAGATCTAGCACTGCCCTACACAGGTCCCTACAGGACTGTGAAGAACATGAAGTGACTTCCAGGTGAGGCCCGTGGGCATGAGACATCCCATCCGACTCCCTAACATGGAGTCCAGGCAGGTGAGACACTGAAGGGCAGACAAGAGGAACCCCTGGTTACCAGCTGGTATGAGTCATGGCACGCGAGGGTCGCCCACATAGGCAAGCCACCTCCACCTTCACCACCAAGGCTCTAGGGTTTACTCCTTGCTATGGCTTGTCTTCTCTACCCTCAGACTGCAGTCTTACTGCCTTGAGGGTGCCAGGAGGGCCGTTAAGGGTTCCTAACATCCTGGCTGGCACCCACCTGAGTCACTAACTAACCAGAAGCACCTCGCCTGGGCTTCCATGCAAGAGGCGGACTTGAGACAAGGAGGGTTCTCTGGGGACCTCACACATGCCGGCACTCCGAGCTGCGGGCCATCAAGGGGCATCTCCTCGGTGAAAAGACTGTCTAGAAGTCACGCTGCCAGTGGGAAGGCCTGGTCCTAGCTACAACCAGGCCGTGCCAGCTTGAGCTAGCACTCTCCTCTGCCTACAAGAACAGTGAACCCCCAGCCCACTATCCTGAACCCTGCCAGGCCTGGCTGCAGGCCTGCCCTGCCCATGCTGCACATCCCCAGCTCCCAACCCTTCCTCTCTCTTCTACCTGACCAGAAGGCCTGTGCCACCTGGCCAAGCCTCGAAATCACCCGAGACACTCTAGAGAGGCCTGGTCCACGCCTGCAGCAGGGGAACCATGGGGAGAGATGAGTTGTGGTGGCTTCTTAAAGCCCACAAGACATTCTCACAGCCACCATGATGGAGAATCACCAATCCACACCTAGCTGGGATACTAAATGGACAACCCTCAGCCTGGCGCAGGGGCCACAGAGCCTGGCTGACACTCCAGGCTCCTGGCAAGTGCTTACCAAATGCGTTTCAAACTTGGCTATGAAGTATGTATAGCAGGCTGTCCTTCTCACCTTGTTGAGAGTACTCCCAGCCGAACTTCCTCGAGTCGTTGAGCGCCTGCCCCAGGAGAGCAGCCTGATGCATCAGCTTCTTAGGAATGCAGCCCACGTTGACACAAGTGCCGCCAAGACCTGGGGAGAAGGAGCAGTTGTGATGCTGTGTGCATGCTTTCATTCTGCATCATGCTACTGAAACATGGACGTGGCCAGGTTGAATGGTGGTGGAGAAACACCCCGCCCCCCAGTGAGACACAACTCTGCATCGCGGAGTCAACGAGCAAAGCCATGGGTGTTAGAGGGAGAGTTTTCTGGAGGCAGAGCCAAACCTCTTGCTTGCATCTGACGCACAAGGGATGGGAGCTGCCTTAGACTAGTGAGGCGAGACGAGACCCTGCCAGGCGTCGAGGCACAGCGTCAGGGCCCACAGTCAGAGGCCACCACAGCCACCTGCTGGCTAGCACAGCACATCAGCGCCAGCCCTGCCAGGCAGCCAGGGACTCCCTCCCTGACTGTGCTCACATCACATCTGCCTGATAGACTGGGTCGTGTCTGGGCAGGAAAGGGAGAAAGCAGGAGAAAAAAAAGGAAGAAGGTAGAAGTAGGGGAAAGAGATAAGTGTACACCGCTCAAGACAAGATAAGACACAGTCAGGCTGGGAAACTGAATATAGACAGGAATTACAAGGCTTGTAGGGTGCACTGGGAGCCCCGTGTGGGGGACAAGGAACCTGAACAGCCACCAGGGCCCTGAAGGTGGCCTTCACAGGAGGAGAACCAGCTCCTCTCCTCTCTCTCTCCTCCCCTCTCCCCTCCACTACTGGCCATGCGCAGCTGGAAATCTGAGGACAAGGTGCCAACTGACCTGTTCTCTGGGGCAGAGATGAAAGGAGAATGTGTCTGAAGAATAAACAGAGAACATCTAGCACAACAGCTGCACGTTCGATTCCACAGTGAGCACTGTACGAGCAAGCAGCAAGGCTGCGCCTCGCTCCCGCCCTTACTCAGCAGATACAACACACTGACTCCACAGCCAGCAAACCCAGCTCCAGATGGGTGCAGAACAGGAAAGTGTTCAGGCAGACCCAGGACCCAGCACAAACACTGGGACCACAACAATGCAAAAATATGAACACTCGTGGGTAGAAAACACCGTGTGGCAGAAGTGCCAGAGCACCAGTCACGGCTGCACCATTCTCCGCGATGGCATCACACTGTCACACATGGAGAACAGCTGGCTTAGACTCCTGAGAGGGGTGGGGCTCAGTGGGCCTGGGCAAAGCACAGCACGTCAGACAGAGCCGCTTACCCCAGGACGCGCCTTGTGGGGATGGAACCACAAAGTCTAGCACCATCACTTTCTTTCCCAAAATGGCAGCTTCCTACAAAAAAAAAGGCTATATATAAAAATCTTGTCATTTTCTTGCCCTCCATTTTTCTACCCTTAACAGACAACAGTTACATTTTACAAGAGAGCAGTCTTTTCCCTAAATTAAACAAGTTATCATAATCAAAGTTTCAGCCGCAACATTAAGATTAACTTTTAGAAAATGTCCTGTGTGGGCTTGGTTTCCAGTCCACACCTTTGCACACGAGAGGCCCCCGGAGCCCCCGCCGATGATGATGAGGTCGTAGTCATGCACCGAGTCTTCCTGAAGGAGCTTCTGTAACAGCCCGTTCTGATGTGCCTGCAGCCCGCCAAAGCAGAAAGAATACCCAATGAATGAACAGTTTAAAACTTCATTTGTAATCAGCATGGAAGTCTTTTATTTTAAAAATACCTTAGAAACAAATTGACATGTCTAAATTGGAATTGTAAATCTCTCCGGATGCTATCCTAACAGGGAGCAGCCAGTGTGACGTCAGCCCAGCACACGCTGCCCTGCCCGCACCCCATGGTGAGGCATCTGCCGAATGGCCCCAGGGCACAGGCCGTGTTCTGTCATGTTCCCAGGTCTAGTGATCAAAATATCACAGTCGAGGGCAGTGAAGTGAGCAGATATCGGCGTCCTGGTCCTCGTTCTCCTGTGCTAATTTTCCTTTTAAAAGTGGCTCTGGGGGCTGGGAAGGTGGCTCAGTGGTAGAGCGCTTGCCTTGCATGCCAGAGGCCCTGGGTTCGATTCCTCAGCACCACATAAGCAAAAAGAAAAAAGCCGGAAGTGGCGCTGTGGCTCAAGTGGTAGAGTGCTAGCCTT